TCAAGATCTAATATAATTATTAAATATTAAAAAATTAATATAAATATATATATCATTTAAAATTATTTATAAACAAGTGTTTTGTTTTTTTTTTTTTTGAACATATTTTGCAAAGGGTAGGTTTCGAACCTGTCCCGGGAGAATGCACCGATAGTTAATACCACTAGGTCTCAAGGGCAAGGTCCAACAAGTGTTTTGTTTTTTTCTTTTTTTGAAAAAAAGAGCAATAATAATTATCCTAAATAGTGCATGAAAAAGTGTATTTCAGTCTTTTTTTTTTTTTTTTCTTTTTTCTTTAACTTATGAAAAGAAAGTGTTTACAAGCAAGTGCCATTTTTTTACATTAATGCTCTTAAATCGCCCCGCGTACGGCTCCCACCTATAAAATAAAATGCAAAAATATCAAAAGCATCAAGTGGTAGAATAATGATTTTTAACCTTTTCTATATTATCTTTCTATGAAGATTCATGACAACTGATTTTGCCCATATCCCTACCTCAAGAATATTATTACTAGACCAATAAGACAAAAACTCACAAACCTAATAAAGATAAGATGCCTACATTGTGATCATGAGCATATCAATCAAGGGACTGATAGTATAAGGGAAAATTCCTTTAAAGTATATCTATTAGATTTTTTTTATTATTTAATGAAGATATAATTTATAATTTTATATAAGTAAAAATATTTTAATAAAATTTATTATAAACGTATAATTTTTTTTATAATATATAAAATACTTTTTTTAGATATGAAAGTTAAAATATTAAATTTTTATTAATATTAGTTAAATAAATTACCATAAAATTAAAAAATAACAATCAAATCTGTCTCTATACAATTTTATTAGTATTTTTTTCATTATCACAGGTGAATGTATTTTTTTCAATTTCAAATCACTTGATATTTAAAAAAAAATTTATTAATTCAATTAAAATTTACTTAATTGAAATATTTCACTTTGATTAATGATAATTTTTTTCTTCTAAAAATAGTTAAAGAAATTTGTTAATTAAATGAATCATATTAAAAAAATCAAATTTTTGATAGTCAAAACTAAAATTTTTAAATTAGGTTTAGTTATTAAAATGAAAAATTATTAATCAAAGTAGTAGAAGAACGAAGAAAGAGTCTCGCTTATTATTATTTTTTTTAATTTTGTTATTTATTTAATTAAAATTAATGAATGCTTAATATTTTAATTATTTTCCAAACAAAAGGGCATTATAGATCTTTTAAAAATTTCTAATACACTTATGAAAAATTTAGTTATAGCATTTTCACTTATATAAAATTTAAAATTCTTCCTTTAATTAATTAGTTAGTTTGAAGAAAAAGTCTAATGGATCCACTATGAAGGAATTTTTCCATAATTTAATTACTCCATTAGCAGATTAATCATAGCTTCTAGGTTAAATATCCAATTTGGTCCCTCAACTTTCAGTTTTGGACCAAGTTCGTCCTTAAACTTGCTAAATTATCGAATTTGTCCTTAAACTTTATTTTTTTGCTGCCAACTTGGTCCTTCCATGATCGGAAGTGCCTAGCTAGCAAGTTAACATGTCACAAATTAGGAAAATGCTATGAACATACTCCTCCGTTACACACTTTCTTGCACACACTCACTTTCCGTTATGATTCGTTAACTCCCAAACTCACCTCTTCTGTCCTTATGGGGAGGTAATCGCCGATGCCACTACTCGAAGCACCGAATCAAAATCATAGAAAAGTCAAAAATTGGACAAGGAATAAGAAACAATAACAGAAAAAGGAAATTACAGTGGAAATTGAATGATGTGACGATCTTTCGTCATACCAAAACAATGCATCCACCAAGACTCATCCCCTCAAAGATCTGGTGAAATGCCCCCAATCAAACCTACAATTTCTTCCTTTCATTTTCTTTCTCTCTCTATCCCTCAATCAACACCAGATATGGATTT